AAAAAAAAAAAAAAAAGAACGGTGGATAGGGGAGGTTGGGTTTGATCAGCACATGCTGTACACATGTATGAAAAATATCACACTGAATGCCATTAATAATATAATTATACATTTCAATAAAAATTAACTAATTAATGGGGAAACAGTATACTGGCACACTATTGCCTTTGCAAAGGTGAAATGGAGGCTAAGGGCAGGGACAGGAAGAGTTGCTTCCCTGTACCTTTCATACCTAGTGGATTTTGTATGTGTGAATATCTCACCCACTCAAAAATGGACTAGTTTTAAAGAGAAAAACAAAAAAAATTAAAATTGATTAATATTATTTCAAGAAGTATAATGTGGACCAGGTGCAGTGACGCATACCTGTAATCCCAGTGGTTTAGGAGGCTGAGGGAAGAGGACCATAAGTTCAAACCAACTTGGCGAGGCCATAAGCAACTGAGACCCTGTCTCAATAAAAAGGTGGCTTGTGGTTCTGTGGTTAAGTGCCTCTGGATTTAATCCTCATTACCAAATATATATATATATATATTTTTTTTCTCTTATTTGCCAATTGACATTTATAGGGTACTAGGTACTATATGAAGCACAGAATAATGACCTAAAAAAAAATTCTGTTCACTGAGTCTTTTACAATTAAACCTAAAGATTGATGACAGCAATATACAATGGGTACTGCAGACATACAGAAGGACATTTAGTACAAATCAGGATGCCACGGGAAGGCATTCTGAAAAACAATATCTCTTGAGGAGATTAAAAGGGAAGCTCAGATGGAGGATTGTTTGAACTAAGGGCAAAATCCCAGGCAAAAGCAAAATGAAATTTAGGGTATAGTGAGGGAAGTGACAAAACACAAGTTGAAGATGAGCCAGAAATGTAGAGCCTTCTACACCATGATAAAGATTTGGATTTTGTCTTGAAATTGATAAGGTTAAATGAAAATGATAGTAAGATTTGCATTTTAAGAAAAAACAGATGATGTAATGAAGTATGAAAAATGAACAGGATGTTAATTAAGAGACTTTTCCTATAATCCAGGAGAAAAATGGCAAGGCTAAATTGAGTGTGGCAAACCAAAATAGCCAGATTTTTAGATATTCAGAAAAAAGATGTGGTAAAAGCTATACCATCAGATACTAGCCTTCTTTCAGACTTTTTGTGATAACAAGTCTTTGTTATTTCAGGGACCTATACATATGCTCTTTTATGGGTGGAACATTGCCCACTTTATCAAAACCAGATTCTTTATTTCTCTCTAGCAGTAAGTACCCTCTTCTTTTTCTTCAGTATACTTAGTACTTATTTTAATTCACACATTTGTATGTTTACATTTTAAACATATAACTCCTGCTGTAGAGGAACATGAAGGCAGGAACCATGTCTAACCACTGAATCTCTAGTATCTAATTCAGTGTCTGCAAACAGTAGGCACTAATGATTTGTTCAAGGAATAACTCATATGTTTATAAGTTAACATACGAGTTATTCTGGTCTTAGTGAATAGCATTATCCATCTATCAAGAAAGATGGATAATGATATTCACTAAGACCAGAAACACAAAGGAGGGGCAGAAATTAACAATTAGCTATTGCTTACTTTCAGGGTCCCATTAATCTAGGCACCTTGCTCCTCCAATTTCCCTGAACCTTCTCTCTTCCTTATTCTTGCCAATATCTTCCTAATTTTCTAGTCTTGTCGAAAAGCTCATCGTTTCCTTTTTTTCAAGTTACATTTCTTTAGAGACTTACTTCCCCCAAGTTGCTTTTTCTGACTGCCTCCAAAGTTACAGTCCCTGTCAGAAGAAAGAGAATTCAAAGTTTGGCACATGTATTGCCTACCTGGTGATAAATTTCTGAAATGCCAGCCTAGGAAAATCCCACCATAAACATGGAAACTCCATCCTCCCCAACACCTAGAACCCAGCATTGTCTGGGCAACTGTTTAAATGCAAATTGGAATGAATTAGAAAAAACATCTAAGACTGTATCCTCGTTATCTATCGATTGTGTTAGCCCACACAATTGACTATGTTCGTTTAAGCTCATTTCTTCAACTGTGAAATGGAGCCTACTCTCCTCAAAAGCTCAGATTGTCCAGGCTGGGTGATAACGAAGACGATATGATGGGCCTTTTAAAGTTTTGCAAACAGGTTGTGGACCAGAGAAAAAAGATCGCTCGGGCGCTAAGTGTTAAATGCATTCACATTCATTCTTAAATCTTCACAACAGTTCCCGAGGGGTGTAAATTCCGCGTTAGAATTTTTCTTGTGCTCTATTCAGCATTTCCCTCAAAACTTTAACCTAATGCATAAGAAAAACAAGGCAAATTAAAGAGGATTAGCGGGCCCCTGTCAGGGATCGGCGCCTGAAGAGAACATCGAGATCAGTCAGCCAAAACAGCGGATCAAAGTGTGGATCGCGCAACCCTGAATCTCAGTGCCCGCGGGATGCGAGTCCCGGTTGAGACGAAGAAATCCTCAGTCTTTAGTAGAGAGTCGCTTGAAGATGGGCCCCCGACAGCTTATTCCTACCCAAACAAATCTCAGAACCGACACTGAGAATGGGCGGGAAAGTCCAGACGCCAGAAATTACGCCACCGTATTGATCAATTCCGCTGTCGTTCCCAGTGTCCAGCCTCCTTAGCTCGCGGGCGATGTTTTCATTGGCTCTCCTTCGCTTTCATTGGTTCGCCCTCCTGTTCGTCAGGTTCCGCGCGCGGTGAGAGGTGGAGGGAACGTCAGTGTTGGGGCTGTAGGCCCCGCCTCCGCGTGCCGTGTGCAAAACACAAACAGCCGTTAGGGAGGAGGCGCCGGGGGCGGGATTCTAGTTAGAAAAAGGCTCACTATTGGGCAGATGCCGGGGTTCAAACCAGCAAGGTGGGCGGCCATTGGCCGCAGTGGCGCGAGGCGGGCCCCGGTTATTGTCCCGACCGGCGGCGGCGATCGGAGCTGCGAGAGCGGCTGCGGCGGCGCGGGGCGGCAGCGGGTGGTCGCGCGGCCCAGCGAAGGCAGAGGCGGCCGAGACCATGGTGAGGGCGGGCGAGCGGCGAGGGTGTCGGCGCGGAGGCCGGCGTCAGTGTCGCTACCTGTGGAGTCGGGAATTGGCGGGCGTCGGGGCCGCGTCCGGCGGAGCCTCTCCCCGCTCTCTGGGGGGCCCGGGTCGCGGAGTCCGTGGTGGGTGGCTGCCTGATCGCTGGGCAGGGCCAGGTCGGGTGCGTATTCTGCCCCGAGCAGAGCAGATCTGTCCTGATCCGGTCGGCCCAGCGACGACAGAAACGTCAGAAACGTCGCACACCAATCTGAAACGGGAACGCCAGAACCCAACGGCCGGATCTGGCTTGGAAAGACAGAAACAAGTGCTAGTGCGCTGACGCACGAATGAGGTCAAGCAGGAGCCGCTGTACAAGTTAGAAGTCTTTGGCGTTGTTTGGTTACGTAATCTCCGGGCCATAAATTTGAGGTTTTCTGCGAAAGGGGCTTGTATTCGTGGTCCTTTGAGTCAGAAAGAAGGGTATTACGAACCAGAACCTCACGATTTGTTCTAGGTGATTGCATGGGTTTGAGATGAACGGCCGTTATCCTCTTGACTCCCTTGCAGTTGCTGTTTATTCACTGTACAACAGTGCTTCCTTTGCCTCTGCTGATTTTTGATCTTACATATTTTTTATTATGAAATCCAGATCTATTTAAGACAAGTGAGTTTTTTAAAAAGTGGAAGTAAATAAAAACTTCATTTCCTTTGTAAAATTGAGGAAAGGACGAAAGTGTCAAAGGATAAGCTGTATGCATTGCATTTAGTCTGTAATAATGACACTTTTGCGGAATCTTATTTATGTCGGTATTCCTGCTTTAAGCATCCTAGGACGCGTAACTTCAACTGGAGAGGCCTGCCTAAAAGTTAACCTCAGGTTTTCATTTGTTTGTGGGTGTTTTTGTTTTGCAGTGCTGAGGATGTCTTTTCTCATACCACAGATAGTATTAGATGACATATCCTATCCTATGCTTGAGAATGACACGTGTGGAATTTAATAGACGGAACACCTAACTATAAGCAGATTGGTCAATCGAGGACACAGATTTTGGTTATTGTAAAATTCTCAAAAGTAGAATTGAAATAGAACTTATGAATAATTGCCTCCAACCTCTGGAATTTATAGTTTACTATTATATTTCCCAAACTGAGGTGCAGGTTACGTCTAATCTGTAAATTGCCTCAAGCTGATGATTTTCATGAACCTTGCTATTTTTTAAAGATGTTTTTCCATCTGTAGTTATATGTATTGGATATACATTTACCAGTAGCTAAAAATACATAATCATTAACATAAAAGTATTGGAGGCATGGAGTTGTCATTCTTGAAAAGATTTTAAACTTGAGGGGGAGTAAATATGTATCTATTAAATCAATATGAAAATATCCAGTGTCCAAGTTTTTCTGAGTGAAATATACTTCAGCGTGCACCTTATCCTTCATATATATAAATAAATTTTAACCAAGGGGTTTAACGCATTAGTGATACATTCATTTCTTAGAATAATAATTTTTATGTTGCTTATTTTTTTTTCTCAGTCATCAGCTATATGAATGTATACAATTGGGAGGATATACAGTTTGAGGGAGTTTTAGAAAATAATTGTACAATTATTGTACAGAAAATTGTACTTATGTACAATTTTATATTCAGACAGGTTTAATACCATAAAGATTTGTTTTTGTTAAGTGTAAAAGATATATCTGGAAGGCTGAGATGGGAGGATCACAAATTCGAGCCTGGCCAGTCTCAGCAATTTATCAAAGCCTACCCTTAGCAACTTAGACCCTGTCTCAAAAAATAAAGAGGGCTGAAGAATGTAGCGCCCCTGGGTTAAATCACCAAGTACCAAAAACAAAAAAGAAAGAAAAAGAAAGTAATATCTGTGGAGTCTCCAAACCTTGGAAATAATCATTTAATAATTTAATGCACTTGATATATTGAGGGTTTGTTTTGTTTTTAAAATGGGATCTTGCTATATTGTCCAGGCTAGTGTCCCTGGGTTCAAGCAATCCTCCTGCTTCACCTCCCCAAAGAGTTGGGACTATAGGCATGTGTGCCATCACACCCAGCATATATTAAGACTTTTAAAAACTGATTATAGTCAGGCCTGGTGGTGCTTGCCTGAAATTCAAATGACTTGGAAGGTAAAGAAATAAGAAGATCAAAAGTTAGAAGCCACCTTGGCAACTGGTTGAGACCCTGTCCCCCCCAAAATAAAAAGTACTGGGAATGTACTCAGTGGTAAAGCAACCCTGAGTTCCACCCCAGTGCCAAAAAATAAAAGCTGATTGATTATACATTTACTTCCTTAAAATGCAAGTAGAATGGCAAATAGAACAAATTTAAAACAAATTTAAAATTGCTTAAGCAGAGTAATTATAACTATCAATTGAGAAGCCTGGGGAGTTTTGTGGTTAGTAGCTTTTAGTTAATAACTAGTTCTTTCTTTTTTTAATCAAGTTACGAGAAGATAATGATTATAATTTTAGATTCATGTACTACTTAAGAGGATTTTACATATTTTTTACTTGTATAAAGATGAAAGGGGTTTTTAAAATTTAGTAGATGAGAATATCTTATTAATGGAGATGACTTCAAATAAAAGATGATGCAGTATCTTTTTCTTACGTAGCAATATAGTCAGAAATTATTAAAATATTGAGGCATCCTCATAGAGAAATCTGGAATTTAAGTTCTCCCTAGTAAATGTAAATCTTGCTAAATTGTTTTAATGTAAGAAAGAGAATGTGAATTGATTTGTAGATGGGTTTTTCCTGCTAATACCTGCCCAGATGGTGCTATTTCATTCTACACTCCCCCCCCCCCCATCAAAACACACAGGATTTGGGGAAATTAGCGTTTGATCCATTGAGACTTGCAGACAAGACGAGGTTGATTATAGATAAAAATAAATTTTTAAGGAAGGCATTACATAGAGAATATGCCATCTCAAAATTTGCCTTCTGGGGCTGGGCCTCAGTGGTAGAGCGCTCACCTAGGCTGTGCAAGGCACTGGGTTAGATCCTCAGCACCACATAAAAATAAATAAATAAAGGTATAAAAAAATCACATCAATATTTTAAAAAAATATGCCTTCTAATTGAAAGTATAGACTCTGAAGCTACCAACCCTGTAAACTGTCTATTTTTTTTACAAGGTTATTTGTTTGTTTTACAAATTTAAATGGCAAAATCAAGCCAGACCAATGGCACATGCTTGTAGTCCCACCTACTTGGGGAGGACTAGACAGAAGGATTGCAAGTTTGAAAACAGCCTTGGCAATTTTGCAAGACCCTATCTCAAAAACTAAAAAGCGCTGGGGATGTGCCACGATGATAGAGAATCCTTGGGTTCAATCCCCTGTACTATTAGAAAAAACAAAAAAAGCAGAAGCAAGTAATAGAAAAAAGAAAATTGAGTTTCTCTCTTAAATGAAATCTCATAACTTTTGCACATACACTGCCTTTGTTACATAGAAATAGGATTTGTAGATTCTGTATCATTATACACACACACACACCTCATTTGTTATAACTGCTTAGTAATCCACTGTATTTAGATACCATAATTATTTATATAATTCTCCTACAAAATGGACATTAAGGTTATTTGAAAGCATTTATTTTCTATCAGTCAAAAGTAGGATTTGTTTAATCCCTTTAATAGAAGTTTATGTATGTGGTAAAATCTATAACAATTTTTTTTTTAAACTGGAAATAGAACCTAGGTATACTCTACCATTGAAGTACATCCCCAGCCATTTTTTTCTTTTTTTTGAGACAGGGTCTTGCAGACTCGCTCAGGGGTCTTGCTAAATTGCTGAAGATTACCTTGAACTTGTGATCTTTCTGCTTCAGCCTTCCTAGTCACTGGGATTACATGTATGCAACCATGCCTGGCTCCATTTTTAAAGAGTCCTGTTTAGTGATATTAAGTACATTCACATTGTGCAGCTATGCTATCACCACCATTTATATCAAGAACTTTTTCATCTTCCCGAACTGAAACTACAATTAAACAAAAATTCCCCCAGCCCCTGGCAAGAAATTCTACTTTCCAGCTATGAATTTTACTACTCTATGATCTAAGTGGAGTCATGCAGTATTTTTCCCTCCCCCGCCACCTGCCCACTTTTTTTTTTTTTTTTAATGGTACTAAGGATTGAATCCAGGGCCTTAAACACACTAACACCAGCTCTACCACAGAGCAATACCCCTTTTTATTCTGTTTTGAGACAGGATCTCACTAGGTAGCCCAAGCTGGCCTTGAATTTGGAATCTTCCTGCTTCAGCCTCATGAGTAGCATATACCACCACACCTGGCTAGTATTTTGTCTAATGGTTATATTTCACTTAGCATAATGTCCTCAAGTTTCATTCATGTTGCAGCATGTATTGGGATTTTCTTTTCAAAGCTAAATATTATTCTATTATATATTTTATTTTGTTAATCAATGGACAGTTTTATTTTTCCTTTTGGCTACTGTGAATAATGCTGCTGTAAATATGGATGTATAGATGCCTGTTTTGAGTTCTTTCAATTTGGGGGCATATACCTAGAGTTAGAGTAGTTGAATGTGTTTTATCTTTTGAGGTTTGTCCTCCCGCCCCGCTCCTTTGGTAACATACTTATTTCTTCCAGAAGAGCTATAATTTAAATGTTTCTGTGAAAATAATGTTATATTGACATTTTAAAGAAAGTTTTTAAATATGTAGTATTTCAGGTATGCATAAAAGTTACTGATTTGTAAAAGTCATGGATCAGAAAGTTGAAAAATATGTTCAAATTCTAAAATTTAGAATTTTGGAGTATTACACTTTCAGTAGATGATAATGTTTGATATCTTTTTATATAAGTTAATTAAAGGAGATATATTTACAAAGGAAGAAAGGAGATCACCTAGATATTTTTAGCTATCTAAAGTAAAACTAAAAGTTTTGTTTCCTTTTTTTTTTTTTTTTTGAAGTAGCATTTTAATTCTTCATCCAATACTTTTTTTTTAATGTAGGCTGGAGGCAAAGCTGGAAAGGATAGTGGGAAGGCCAAGGCCAAGGCAGTGTCTCGCTCACAAAGAGCTGGACTACAGGTAATGAATGTGTGCTGTTATAGTTCATTTTTAAATTATTTTCTTTATTGTTGCATTTCATGACCCATAAGAAACATTTTTAAACATGGAAGTTGGAAGTTCAGACTAAAATTTAAGTTTAGTTTTATCCTTTTGGTAATGGTGAAAGTTTGAGTAAATGGGTGACCCTAAAGGAAGAGGGAAGGGAACTTAAATTTGATGCACACATTGTGTATTTTAAGGAACCATGTAAATTCTCAATTAGAATTCATTTGAAGCATATTTAATTTGAAGTGTTATGGAAGTCAGATGGTTTAAAAACAAATTAACATATACTTAGAGTGGGATGAGAAGGAATAAAAAGTATGTGTGCAGAAAATGAATGGAGAGTAAGGGCTTAAAGGCTTAGAACTTAAGGCACATAGACATTTGTAGTAGGGTTATATTATGAGTTAAATTTAAGTGGGATTATTTTGAAGTTCACCAAAAATCTTATGTGGAAATGTCCAGAAGTTGGAAACATGAATCCAGCTTTCTAAGACTAGTTATAGAATTACAAACTTGAGATTATTTGTGTAAAATTGATAATTCATTCTGTAAAAAAGCTTCCTAACCTGTAATTGAGAAAGGAATACAAGGATTCATTGGTAGATCCAAAGACTGATTTCTCAAGAGGTAGTATTAGAATACCAAATAAAGCAGGATTTAGACTACAGTATTACTGTAGCACATATACATATGAAGTGTACATATACATATGTAAGTGTAATGTGTAATACATTTAATGTGTACACTTATATATGTATAGTAGTACTACCTATTCTTATTAAGTATGTATACATATTAAGTGTACATATATGTATGTGCACTTAAATACTATGTTATCATTCCCCCTGCTCAAAATAGAGTTCTTTCTTAATTATAGCTCTCTGTTATATACTGACTGCTATAGCAGATATACAGTTCTAATGAGGAAGAGAGAAAATAGCCAGGCACCATGCACCTGTACTGCCAGCTACTTAGGACAGGCAAGAGAATCTTAGGTTTGAGGCCAGCGTGGGCAACGGAGCAAGATTCTGACTTTTGAAAAGAAGTCAGTGATGACCTCTGAGTAGTATTGATGCCTACAAAGAAAGATTTTGAGATCCTACTATGTGCCAGACAACATACTACTCACTAAGAATGCAAAAAGGGGAATAAGGTATGGATTTTTCTTTTAAGAAGCTTATAATCAGTTAGGGGAGCAGGGAATGATTTTTCTCCTTATCTGGAAGTGACTGCTAGACTTCAAGGGCAGTATTTTTTAGAAGTCAAGTCTAGTTGGAGAAATGATGACAAGAAAGTAAGGGATTAGGGAATTTTTTGGTTTTTCTGTTTTTTGCCGTATTAGTGATTGAACCCAGTGCTCTCTACCACAGAGCTACATTCCCAGCCCTTATTTTTAAATTTTTTTAAATATTTATTTATTTAGTTAGTTAGTTAGTTTTTAGCAGGCACAACATCTTTGTATGTGATGCTGAGGATCGAACCTGGGCCGCACACATGCCAGGCGAGCGCACTAATGCTTGAGCCACATCCCCAGCCCTATTTTTTAAATTTTGAGGCAGAGTCTCAGTAACTGTGGAGGCTAACCTCCTGTGATCTTCCTACCTTAGCCTTCCAAATAGCTAGGATTACAGGCACATATCACAGTGCCCAGCAGGGTTTGGGATTTGTTTTTAAATTTTGCCTTTGAAAGGAGATTTGTAGATCAACTAGAAGTAGTTGCTGTAGAATATGGGAAATTTTTAAGTGTAGTTTCAGAAAGAAAGGAGCCAATGGAAAGGAAATTATTGGAGTTGTTGAAATAAAGGCATAGTGAAGGGGTGAGGAAGATAATAAATGCTGGGAGTGATTGAATGGTACAGCTCGGTGGTAATGTGTGTGCTTAGCATATGCAAACACCTGTGTTAAATCCCTAGCACCAACAGAAAAGGGAAAAAAAAGAAAGAAGGAAAAAGAAGGGAGTAGGTAAGTCAAAGGATAAATGAAATTAGGATACTTAGTTTAAAAAAAAAAAGAAAAAGAACCACAGTGAGAATATGGTATTGATTTTTCTTAGCTGTCAGGTCTTCTCTTAAAACTGAGGAACAAACAGAGTTAGGGTAGAGGAAGGTAATGAAATTTTAAAGTCACATGTAGTTGTGTGAAGGAATTGACTAGATATGAATATGATCATTGTGCCATGTTTGACACGTTTCTCTTTATTATATAATTAAACTTTCTATATTGTACAGGGGCATATTACTAGGACATATAGTCCTTGGCAACTATTAATTGCCAAATAGGTTTGATTTCCAATACATGTGACCAAGTTTGTTTGTTTGTTTTATTATTTTATTTATTTTTCATGTCTTCATACATGAACTTTGGATAATGATGTCCATCCATTCCACTATCATTTCTAACCCCATGCCCCCTCCCTGCCCCTCCCACCTCTCTGCTATTTTTATGATTTTATATTGTATTCATATTATTAAGCCTTTGATTACAGCTCAGTGATATAAAGTTAGAATTGTATAGTGCTTCCCAATGAGATATTTTTCTTTCAGTTTCCTGTGGGCCGCATCCACAGACACTTGAAGACTCGTACCACAAGCCATGGACGGGTGGGTGCCACTGCTGCCGTATATAGTGCTGCGATTCTGGAGTACCTCACTGCTGAGGTTTGTTGGGACATATCTTGTATATGGGATTCCAAAACATTTTCTAAACTAAATGGATGAAACCATCAAATATATATCCAAAAAGACATATATACTCTAGTTTATTTTTTTTCCTTCTTTTTTATTTTTGCCTTTATTTTATTTGTTTTATTTGTTTATTTTTATGTGGTGCCCCCCTTTTTAATAGCAGTTTTAGATGTATCTTATAGGCCTGTCACCCAGTGTGTGTTAAAAAGAAACTTTGTATACTTATTTTTATACTTAAGCAAGGCCCAGGAGTCTAGACTTTTTTTTTTAATATTTAGTTTTTAGTTACAGGCGGACACAATATCTTTATTTTATATTTATGTCATGCTGAAGATCAAACACAGTGCCTCACGCATGCTAGCCCAAAGCTCTACCTCTGAGCCACAACCCCAATCCCAGGAGTCCATACTTTTAACTGATCTGACTAGGGTATAAAATACTGTACTAATTAAGTAAACTCTGAAGTATATATATATAGTAGAGTGAACAGTAAATATTTGTGATATTTAACTAACCTCTTAGTTTATGAAGATTGGAGTAGAGTAAAGATTTGCCGAAGTGATGATATATAAAAATCAAAAGGTGAAGGGAATATAATATAGTTAAGTGGTAGAATGCCTACCTAGCATGTGCAAAGCCCTGAGTTCAATCCCCAATACCGCTTAAAAGAAAAAAAAAAAGCTGGGTGCAGTGGTGCACTCCTGTAATTCCAGCCGCTTGAGTGGCTGAGGTAGGAAGATCATGAATTCAAAGGCAACCTCAGCAACTTAACACAGCTCTGTCTCTAAATAAAATATTTTTTAAAAGGACTGGAGATGTGGCTCAGTGGTAAAACGCCCCTGGGTTCAATCCTCCACCTCCTCCAAAAAATCACAAATATTATTATGATGATATCAGAAATAAAAAGACCTGAAGATCTAGTCAGTCTTGGTTCTCTGCATGGTTGTACATAGATTGATATTTTAGGAAGATAGATTATTTGGGCAAGAGTTTTTAATTCTTGGATCTTGGATTACCACTTTCGTCTGCAATGAAACTCCTTCAGCTACATTCCAGACCAGGCAAGTAATTTGAGTAGCCAGCAAGTCAAGTGGTATGGATAGATAGCAGATCTATAAAAAGGGAAAGTTCTTGCTTGATGATGTGGATAACTAAACAGGAATTTAGGTTTAACCTGTGTGTCAGTTATTGTTGCTGTCATTTCATTATCATCTTCAAGTCATCTCTGTCCCATTGGAGATATAACATTGAATTACATATAGTTTTAATTTTTTTTAACTTTTTTTTAACTTTGTTGTGGCATTAGCAAGGGATTTTACATGGGCACTATAATGTTATTTGCGGAGCCCTTTCTCCCTTCTCCATTTTGCACTAGTTTTTGTTTAGCTACAGACTACACAAGGGAGTAATTGTACAGTAATGTTGAGGCATAATATTGTGGCTTATAATGTTCAAGTCTTATCTAAACTCCCATTTTCTTTATCCTTTGGAAATGGTTAAATTTTTTTAAGTTAAGATTAAACAGGCTATGGGTGTAGCATCGTGATAAAGCATATAACTAGTGTGCTTAAAGCTCTGGGTTCAATCCCAGCATGAAAAGAAAAAAAAAGATTAGAAAATAAAATATACTTTTAAAAGCAGTCAACATATTTCAGAAATTTCAATTTGGAATTTTAGTCATTCAGTAAAGGTAAATTACTGAAATCTAAGCCAAGAGTTTAGGTCAGGAATAATCACTTTTCAATCTTTGCTTTGCACTAGAGTCATTTGGAGAACTTTCAAATGGGCTTCATTTCTCAAACCAATCAGAATCCCTAGAGAGAATGTGGAGGGTACTGGTGGTTTTAAAAACTCAACAGTTGATTGTGATATACACCTAGTCTTAACTACTGCTCTATTTAAATGAGGAGGCACTGTGTTTTTTGTATTACTTTCATTAAAGGTATGATAATGCCAGTATAACAAAAATACAGTATTATGGCTAACTGAAACTTTGAAATTTCTCTAGTTAAAAATTCCCATTATAGTGTGAAAGGATTCTAGCTTATAGCCTATGGATTTATAGAGATCATTAACATTAAAACTTGTGAATAAGAAATTATTTTAAATTACATTTTTAAACTTTCCCTTTTTTGAGTATTAATAAGTAAATTCCAGCCATTAAAAGAAATGAACCACCAGATAGACTACATGATTACCTTTAATTTCTTTCTATATACAAATAGGCTTTGCTCAAGTTTCTGTTTGTTTCAGAGAATGAAAAAGGGTCAAGTGAATATAAAAAGGGTCAAGTAGGGGCTGGGGTTGTGGCTCGGTAGTAGAGCGCTCACCTACCACATGCAAGGCCCTGGGTTTGATCCTCAGCACCACATAAAAATAAATAAAGATATTGTGTCCAACTAAAAAAGAGCGTCGTGTAGGGGCTGGGGTTGTGGCTCGGTGGTAGAGCGCTCACCTACCACATGCAAGGCCCTGGGTTTGATCCTCAGCACCACATAAAAATAAATAAAGATATTGTGTCCAACTAAAAAATAAATATTAAAAATAAAAATTTTTTAAAAAGGGTCAAGTAAAGTAATGAGAGTTCTATGAAAGCATCATAGCAATATAGGAAAGAAATAGTGCACTGAACTCTTTAAACATTTTGTCTTTCATTTGATAAGTTATTTCATGATTTGCCTTGTAGGTGCTGGAGCTGGCAGGTAATGCTTCCAAGGATCTCAAAGTAAAGCGTATTACTCCACGTCACTTGCAGCTTGCAATCCGTGGTGATGAAGAGTTGGATTCTCTTATCAAGGCTACCATAGCTGGGGGTGGTATGTATTATTAAACTTAGATTGTTATTGGTCTTTCTAACAAGTATATCTAGATCAATGATCCTTTGCATTTGAATGACTAACTAGAAAGCATATAAAATTTAGTTTTCCAAATTTTAAATCTGTTATTCCCCAAATCTTAAATCTGTTATAGTTCTAGGCTTCTTTTCATGGTGATTTGAATAGATCTGAATAAATATTTGTTTTCCTTGTAGTCACATATAATACTGTTTTAGCTAGTCTTTATCTAATAAGCCTGATGTTTAAAAATATTTTCCATTATCTTTAAAACTATTTTTTTTTTAATTATCTTGAGAAATTGCTTAACATGATACCTTTGAATGGGCTAAAATACTGGAAATAGGTCAGGATCAACAAAAGAGGTAATTTGGTGATTCTTATTTTTTTGGATTATTCTTATAGAACCTCATGAAAGCTATTGTTACTCATTTCTAAAAATTCACATTAAATCAACTTTACCTATAATTTTAGAAGGGTTCACAGATCCTTAGGGGTAGTACTTAATGTAGATACCTTAATAGGAACAGAATGTGGAAAGGGACTTAAGTTTTTTTCTTTGTATATTTGCTCTTTTTTGCTCGAGGCTCTAAGGTGTTAAGATGTAGCCAGTTAATCTGGGCATGGAGAAGGCATGCCCAATGGCTTCGGAGACTGAGATGGGAGGATAGTAAGTTCAAAGACAGCCTCAGCAATCTAGCAAGGCCCTAAGCTACTAAGTGAGACCCTGTCTCAAAATAAAATATAAAAGGGGCTGGGGATGTGGCTCAGTGATTAGGCACCCCTGAGTTCAGTCCCTGGTACCAAAAAAAAGAAAAACATGTAGCCAACTAAAAAATATTTTTAATAATAACTTGTTTTACTTTAATTTCGTTCTAGGTGTGATCCCTCATATCCACAAATCTCTGATTGGAAAGAAGGGACAGCAGAAAACTGCTTAGAGGGTTGTTTTAACCAATCCTCTTCCTCCCCGTCATTGTACTGTAACTGGGACAGAAGATAACAGTGGGGATATGTGGAATTTTTAAAAACAGTTAAATGGAAAGGCATAGACAATTACTGTAGACATGCTAAAAGAAACATTTGTATGTTCTTAGACTCAAAGTTTGATAAAGTACCTTTTCATGTGGTGACAGTGTGTGTTGATTGGCTAGGTTTCTCCCATATGTTTTATACAAAAATGGAATTGATAAACCATTTTTTACAAAATTATTGTCTCAAAATTGTTCTGTTCATGATGTATTGAAAATATTTTGCTCAGCTTTTGAAATTTTTTTAAATCATAATCATTACTCAGAATAGTCTTAAAGTAGAAATTGGGAATATAGCTTTATCATGATTGATATTCCATGTTATATTGAATGTTAGACGCTATCAATTTGTTGTAATGCTCCATTATCTTATTATATACCACTAAGAAAGGAAAACTCCTTGAATTAATACCATCAATTATAGGATACATCTCAATTTCAGAGATGTTAGAATATGGAAAAATATGCATTTTATACCGAAATGGGGTAGTAGATTTACTGGAATCCTTTACTGAGTACTTACCACGTGCCAGGCCCTGTGGTCAGTGCTTTACTAATCAAGAAATCTTATCCTCACATTATAGACATGGTTCCTGAGGTTCACAGAAATTAAATGATCTGCCAAAAAATATTTAGGACTAACAGAATATACACCTAGATCTTAATGACTCTAGAGCCCACACCCTTACCTGGATTTAATGTTAGATTTATCAAACCTTTCTGCTTTTGGCTTAAAATTCCAACTTTTGGTGGTCTTTTATTGATATAGTAACAGTAATTTGTACAATCTTTTAAAAATTATTTTTCGTTGTCAGTTTCTAAATAACTGTTAGAAGATTTAAGTTAATGTACTAATTAATGGTCCATCAGAAAATTCTATTTTTCTGTCTTGTCAGGAAATCTTCACAAAGAAGGAAATTTTTGATGTTTTATAGTATAACACTATCAAAACAAAACTCAATTTTAAAAATATTTTATTATGGAAATCCTCACAAATACACAAAAATAAAGAGAACAGTATGATTAAGCCCATCTTCCAACTTCAGTAGTTGTGGTCAGTCTTATTTATCCATATCCTCACCTACTCCCTACCAAATGGATTGGTTTGAATCTCATTATAGTTATAATGTTCTCATATCTATATACTTTAGAGAAGTACTTAAACATCTGTGTAAATGAGAGACATTGTCTTAAGATGACTAAAACATTTTTTAAAATGATACTGTACATTCAAATTTTCCACTCTTTTTGTGTATGTGCAGTACTGGATATTGAACCCACAGCCTCACACTGGCTAAGCAAGTGCTCCACTGCTGAACTACATCCCTAACCTTTTTCATTTTATTCTGAGACAAATTCTTGACAAATTGCCCTGGCTGGCCTTGAACCTAATATCCTCCTGCCTCAGCCTGCTGAGAAGCAGGGATTACAGAGTGTGCCAGTACACCTGGCTATCACACTTTTTTTTTTTTAATAGTTGATTTGTTTGAATTAGGATCCAGATAAATCTCTGTATCTTAGATTTTGTTGGTATCTCTTAAGTTCCATTTTAATTTTATTTTTTGAAGAAACTGAGTTGTCCTATAGAACTATCCCTTTAGTGTGGATTTTACTAAACACATTCTAATGATGTCGTTTTAGATTTTCCTATCTTCTCCTTATATTTCCTGTAAAATATCATTAATCTAGAGGGCTTTTGTTGTTGTTGTTGTTACTTTTAAGATTGATGATGAGTTCTGATACTGCCAGCCCATTAAAAGTTCTGTCAGCTTCTCCCCTAATGGTTTTGGCTAGCGTTAGTGATACTTGCCCAGATCCAGGATTCCATTAGGGATCGCCAGCCAATGATATCACATCATTCTTCTGTATCTATTAGCTGAAATGCTTATGAACTTTTACTTATCCATTTATTTTTATGTTTATTTTTATTTTATTTTTTGTGGTTCTGGGGATTGAACCCAGGGCCTTGTGCATGCGAGGCAAACACTCTACCAATTGAGCTATATTCCCAGCCCTACTTATTCATTTATAAGGCAGGGTAAGATAGACATTTCAAATTCTGACCATTCTCTGGGCCCACATTTTCAAGTTTCTTTATGAAGAGTCGTGTGAGGTTTGAATAGTTTTCAGAAACACAAAGCAGTAGAAGGTGAAATATCACACCTTTGAATCACTTGCATAAGGACATTTTTACTAGAGTTATTTAGTTAATTACATCAAGTGAGTTTTTGTACTTTCTGTATCCCCAGGATTGTATTTTATCTTCTAACAAATGTAGAACAAAGGGATGGAGATGTAGCTCAGAGGCAGAGCTCTAGTCTATCGTGTGAGGCCCTGGATTGAATCCTTAGCACCACAGAGAAAAAAGAAAAAGTGTAGGATAATTAGGCCATGTACACAGCCTAGCTTCTAGTTAAGTCAATCATGTTACATCCAACCCACTGAGATATTTTAAAGTGTGTTCCAGCTGTTATGTCACTTCATCTATATTTTTTTATTTTTTGGAGGGGGGCTACTAGGATTGAACACAGAGATGCTTAACCACTAAGCCACATACTCAGCCCTTTTTATATTTTATTTTGAGACAGGATCTCACTGAGTTGCTGGGGCTGGCTTTGAACTCACAATCCTGCCTCAACCTCCCGAGTTGCTGGGATCACAGGCATGTGTCAGCTCCAAGCAATACCTGTTTTAAATAATTTTAGATCAGTAAACTCAGAGAAGTAGAGGGGAAAAAAATTTTTAACAAAAGGTAGAACTTAAATGACCTAGAAGAATGGGAAGAGTCCAGTAGGGAAACAATATGAAAGAGATCTTGGGAATAAAGAATGGCATTTATATGAGGAGTTATGAAAAATGGTCTGAAGAGTATCTGATGTAAGGATGGAAATATGAAAGGTAATGGCTGGCTTTGGTGCCTGAGGCTTTATTGCAAAGGTTCCCTTTTTTTTGGACATTTTTATTATGAAAATTTTTCTAATATGCAATACCATTAAGCAGTGAATAATTCTTATACCCACTACTTAGATTCTACAAATAACATATCACATAGTTCATTTGTGGAATGGCCCTTATTTGCTACTTGTTTTTATTCTCTTGTCATTTCTTGGAGAAAGTGTTCTTCCATCAGATGAGGTCATCATGTAGGATGATTAGGAGGTCTGGGTGAGTATAATGGGACTTAATAAGTTGCCTCTGGAATAGGAGAATTGTGACCCCCATGACTTCCCCTCCTGTGATGTTAAACTTGTATATTGCATTATGTTGTTAAAGGGGCTTTGCAAAATATATGGACATTTGCTTCTCAAATAAGTAAATCCAATTTTAAGAAAGATGCTTGATCTGCTGAGGTGGAGCATTGGTTTAAAAGTAATTTCAGATTTAAAGGTAATTTGATCCAGCGGCTTAGGAGGCCTAAGCAGGAAGATCTCAGGTTCAAAGCCAGCCTCAGCAATTTAATGAAGACTTGAACAGCTCAGCGAGATCTGTCTCTAAATAAAACAACAAAAAGAAGGGGGCTGTGGATTTGGTTCAGTGGTTAAGTGCCCCCTAGTTTCCATCCCCAGTACCAAAAAAAAAGTAATTTAAGAGCATTTTGTGTGTGTACTAGTAGTTTCCTGAATGCATAAAATGTTCCATTTACACATTTGGCCTTTTGGATAAGCCACATTGCTATAGTATCAGCCATGCCAACATCTCAAGGGAAAACTTGGTCTGAGGGCCTTCAGATGCTGGTCAGGTGAGAATTCAAGTGGAGTGATATATGTGTAGTGTTCGTTTCTCAGTTTTTGTTTCATAAGGGAGCCCCAAGTCAACCAACCTGAAATATGTGAAAGTTGAAAACCATCCTGGTAAAAAATATACTTTTCCGCAATGTACCATGAACATTTTGGGGGGGACTGTATTGAACCCAAGGGTACTCTACCACTGAACTACATCCCTAGCCCTTTTTACTTTTGAGGCAGAGTCTCACTAAATTGCCCAGACTGACCTCAAATTTATAATCCTCTTGATAGCTCCCAAGTCACTGGGATTTTAGCACAGGTTACTGGATCCAACTATTTTTTATTTATTTTTGTACCAGAGATTGAAAACTAGGGGCACTTAACCACTGAGCCACATGTCTGGCCATTTTTTATTTTGAGACAGGGTCTTGCTAAGTTGCTTACAATCTTGCTAAATTGATGAGGCTGGCTTTGAACTTTCGATCCTCCTGTCTCAACCTCCCAAGCTGCTGGGATTACAGGTGTGGGCCACCATGCCCAGCTAATATTTATCTTAAAGTGCAAATACATGGTGGTAATGTCTTTTTGGGTGAGACCCAACCTAGCTGCTGGAATTGTTTGGACACCTTGCAGGGGGAAAAGTATGTTGGAATATTTTTGAAGGAACAGGGCATTTTGCTTTGAGAGCTGTAGATATATGAGAGATTTTTTCAAGAGGAGAAGATAGGAGAATTGTAGCCCCCATGACTTCCCCTCCTGTGATATTAAACTTGTATGTTTCAATATGTAGTTAAAGGGGCTTTGTAGATGTTATTATCTAGACAATTTGCCTTAGAAGCAGAAGAGGAAACAGGAGACAAATTCAGAGTACTGGCAGTACCACTGCACCTGAAGATAGAAAGACTACACATAGAACAGAAGGAGATTAATCCTGCTACTAATCAGTGAGTTTGGAAGAATACTCTGAGGCACAGAGGAGAACATTGGCCTCAGTCAATGGCCTGATTTTAGTTTAGTGAGACCATGAGCATAGAGTTAACTATGCTGCCTCAGACTTCTGATCTACAGAAACTTGCTGAAAGCTACCAGGTTTGTGATCATTTGTTACAACAATGGAAAAATAGAAGAATATGTCCCTACAGGATTGAGACTAAGACTTCAGGTCCCTATGGGATTGAGATTTACAATTTATTATGAGAAAAGTCTCTAAATTTTTTTTTTAAGTTTTTAAGTAGTTCTGGAGTCAGATACACCTGGGTTCAAATCTTTATTGGCTAGTTCCTGGTTTTGTGGCTTCACCCCTTCAAGTCTGTCTTCATCCCTAAAAGACAGCTAGCAGTACCTACCTACCCCTTGTTCTCTCTGAGAACACATGCATCACATACAATGCCTTGTGCCCAAAGAGTTCCAAGCCCCCATCCCCTGCCAAGTGTCATGGCCTCTTGGTTTTTCAGTTGGTATTTCTAAGCCTTTATTACTAGAGGTTCAATGAGAATATGCACAAATTAAACTCAAAATGCAGAATATGAGAACTGGTCCTCTTATGTCAGCAGCTTAGAAAGGTACTTCAGAAAGTACCAAGTTAATGCTGAAAGTCAGTGCTGATAAAGTATAGGAATCTGTAGATGAGATGTGTCAGGATATCTTCCATAACCCCAAATTGGAAATGCATCACAGTGCGTAGTTTCATGAAACCTTTGAAGAGCATACCAATCACCAGTAATGTGTAAACTAAGAAGAAAAATAGCTACATTAAGTCAGGAACAGTGGTGTGCACACCTGTAATCCCAGTGGCTCAGGGGGCTGAGACAGGAGAATCATGAGTTCAAAGCCAGCCTCAGCAATGGCAAGGTGCTTAGCAACTCAATGAGACCCTGTCTCTAAATAAAATTAAAAAATAAGGCTGGGGATGTGGCTTAGTGGTTGAGTACCCCTGAGTTTTAAGCTACTTAAAATATGGATGCCTGGGCTGGGGTTGTGGCTCAGTGGCAGAGCGCTTGGCTCACACATGTGAGGCACTGGTTTTGATCCTCAGCACCACATAAAAATGAATAAACAAAATAAAGATATAAAAAAATATATGGATGCCAAACAGTTAGCTCTGTTCTTTCATCTTGTCCTCTAGCTGAAAGCAACAGATGTTCAAATAATGTACCTAGAATACTACAAAAAAATGTATATCATGAACCTTCTAAATAAATACATGAAAATTAGTGAAACCAAGAATATAAACTGTCTGCCAAAGACCTACTATATGTGTGACACAAAAGCCCCATGAGCTCCACAGAGATATCTCTACAGATGGACCCTCCTTTCAGGA